TGTTCTTAAAATAAACTTAAAGCCTTTGCCATGACTGTTGAGGCAGAAACTGCAGTTTTAATATCCAATATGTTTCCCCAGTTTATAGAAAAATAGAATATTGTTAGGAATAGTAATAAGGTGGGTGGACAATAAAATCTCCTCACAGTATTTTTGTTACAGCTGAAGTGGCCAGCATAATAATAAAACATCTACAGGATAGTATTTCCTGGAGAAAGATTGTTTTCCTGGTGGAAAGGGATAAACTCAGCTGGCACATGTTCTTGTCGCCCTTTGCCATCCCTTATCTCCTTTCCAGAGGTGAAGATGCCATCTTAGAAGATAATGATGGATGGGAGTCACATTCATGGAATCACAGAATGGAAAGACAGAAGCTTGGATCCCTTATATTTAAACTAGTCCTACCGTGCTGACACTGAGATTCAGCTTATGAGAGAAAAACCACTACAAATTGGTTTCTCTTCTATGCAGCCTAAACAATCCCCAAACACACAACTTTGGATAGCATGGCCTCTGCCTACTTCTTTACTCTTATCCCAAGCAGCTCTTTTCCTCTATTATAGCCACTGTGACTGACTGGATCTTTGTTTTTGGACTACTCCAATCATTTTCCTTCTTCAGTGTGTTTGCATGTGCTGGCCTTTTTGCCTGAAATAATTTTGCTGTCCTCTTCTGCATCTGTTATTCAGCTCTAGGTTTAAGGGACATCTTCTCAGCGTGGACTTACCTGTGCAGCTCAGGCTAAATCGAATGTTTTCATAGCACCCTGAACTTTTCTTTTGTAGCATTTTTAACTAGCTATATTGTTCTCTCCTTTTATTTTAATAATAATCTTCTCACTATACACTGGACTCTCAGAAACTGCGTTTGCATATCTATTTTCTATAATAGTGCCTGTCACATAGGGAACACTAAATAAACATGTACTAGTAAATGGCAAAACCACTGAAATGTCATGTCCTTTGTGGCATTTTCTTCGCTCTCCTAAATCTAGGTTTCCATGATGGCATTTTGTTTTAACTCCTATTTTATTTCAATATTTTTAACAAAGAAGGGATGTTATAAAGGGTCTCAAGGCCTATTTATCTGTGAAGCATGTAGAAATTGCTTATAATACAGTATCATAAGGCCAATGGTTAAAGCATCAGCAAGATACAAAAGTAACACAAGGAAAAAGCCAGTGACCCAGTGAGGTGGTACAGATAAGACAAAGGAAGGCATTCGGGAAATGGTAAGATTTAAGCCACATATTGAGGGCTTACTGAAAATTTTCCAGCTGAACAAAAAGGAGGAAGGAAATACAGGCAATAAGGTAGCATACAATTAACAATGGTGTGGAGAAGCAGAGTATGTTTATCAACAGAGTATTAACTATGAGAGGGGCATCAGAGGTACAGGGTGAGGGACATATTGGAAGAAACCATCTATTTTCATAAAGATGGGTTCTCCATGGGAATGCTCTTGTGATCTTAAAACAAAACAAAACTTGACCAAAGATTTGTAGAGTAAATAAAATCATGATCTGTTTTGTTTGATCAACTTCAGGTATAATCCTATCTCCATGTTATTTTCCTTTGAGATATTAGCATGAAAATAGAGCCATATGCACCTGCACCATTGCCCTGCGCATCTGCTATTACAACTGGTTCTGTGTATAGAGCAAATTATCTAGAGCCATGGCTAGAGAGATAACACACACTCAAGACCATGAAGCGCATTCTCTGTCACCATTAGTGACTACTCAAAAAACTTCAAGCAGAGGACAGTTTGTCCTCCAATTTTAGTCTTAAGAAAACTTTAAAGGCAACAAAAATGGTTAGAGCTATATTATAAGAGTAAAAATAACTATAGACCCTCAACTGGGTCAGCATAGATTGAAAGTCAACACAGTAGAATAGTGGAGAGAATCCAGAGCCAGAATTAACTGTACATAATAATTGATTAGACATGGAAATGAATAGAAGAGGAAGAGATCATGAGTCCCTGGAATTTCTGGTCTAGAGACCACCCACTGTGTCCTTCTAGTGAGAAAGGTAATCGATGAGGAAGAATATGGTTTAGAAGAAGCTACAATTAATTCAGGCTGGATAGTATGGCATTTAGTATTTCCAAATGGAAGTACTCTGCTTGCTAAGTGGGCACATGAGTCCTGAGCTCCAAAAGAGCAGCCTAGATGAAAGGCATAGATTTGAGACTTAGCTGAGAGGATGCTAGTCTAAGCCTGTGTTTCCCAAGCTTCCTAATGCTGCCACCCTTTAATACAGTTTTGCTGTATTTGCGTCATGTTTTGCTGAACCCCTATGCATAGAAATATATTCATTGCTACTTCATAACTGTAATTTTGCTGCTGTTATGAATCATGATATAAATATCTAATATGCAGGATATCTGATATGCGATCCCCAAAGGGGTCTCGACCCACAGGCTAAGAACCACTAAAGTTATAACAGTAACTATAAAAATGCTATCCAGTGAGGGAAGAACATCTTTGAAACATGTAAGAATTTAGAGTACATAACACGTGGTGATGAGGAGAATAAAATAGACATGAAATGGTGAGGTGATTGTAAGACAAACCTGTGGTTTCTGGTTTGAAGACTGAGTTATTGCTCCACATGGCTCAAACTGGATCACTTCAGTCCTCATATAGAGAAGCCCTAATTTCCGATGTCTTACAATTTGACTGTATGTATGACTTAGAATTTGGAAATATGCTCCTCAAAAAGGTCAGTAAAGTAAAATAATGTTGTGCAGATGACCCTTTATTCAAGGTGACTACTACCCTTATAAAAAGAGATCAGGAACCTGTGCGATAGTGCACACCTTTAATCTAAGCAATTGGGAGGCAGAGACAAGGAGAGTTCTGTGAATTCCAGGCCAGCCAGGGCTACATAGTGAGACCCTGGAGTTGGGGGAGGGGGAAAGAACAAAGGGAGGGAGGAAGGATGGGAGACTAGAATACCAACACAAAGAAATGCAAGCACCATGTGACCAATAAGATAGCTATCTAGAAGCATAATAAAGACAGCTCAAAAATGGAGCAATTGGAAAGATTGTGCTAGAGAAGATAGAGGACACCAAGGAAACAGTGTCTTCCAGACACAACAGAACTAATACACATATGAGCTCAGAGATTGCAACAGTATTCACCAGTCCAAACCAGATTGGTTCTCATCACTGAGATGGAGAAGTAGATAGGAACTCCTATCCCCAAGCAAGAAGCTATCTCCAATTAGCAACCAGTCCCAAAGGAAAAATAGGTTTCTTCAAAGGAGTCTAAATATATATACAAACCACACTTAAGAGCAGTCATCATGCCCAGCTGTAAATGGCCAACACAAAATGAATTCAATGGTAATTTGGGAGGGGTTTTTGTCTCATATTGCTTTGTTCAGACATTTTTTAACCTTACTTTGCTTGTATATTGTGTTTTCCAATTCTGTGTTTTTATGGGTTTTGGGGGGCTGGTATGTCTTTACATGTGTATGAGTTTCTCATGCTCTTTCTTTTTTTGTTGATTTGTTCATTGTGTTTTACCCTTGTTTGTCTTTTGTATTTGCCTCCCTGTTATCTTAAGAGAGGGAAGGGTGAGGAAGTGGCCAGGACCTGGGAAATGAGGGAGGGGACACTAAGATCTCAATAAAATAACTTCATTTTCAATAATAATAAAAATAATAAGCTGGGCAGTGGTGGTGCACACCTTTAATCCCAGCACTCTGGAGGCAGAGGCAGGCAGATATCTGTGAGTTTGAGACCAGCCTGGTCTACAAGAGCTAGTTCCAGGACAGCCTCCAAAGCCGCAGAGAAACCCTGTCTCAAAAAACAAAAACAAAAATAAATAAATAAAGATTAAAAATAAAAATAATAAAAATTAATTAAATGAGATATATATTAGGAAAGAAGGAAAGAAGAAAGAAAGGAAGGAAGGAAGTAAACAAACATCTTGATCTTGGATTGTAGCTTCCAGAACTGCAAGAATGTGTTTTGTGTTGTCTTCTAAGGAATATATTTTTTACAGGCAAGTCAGTAATTTGGCAGTACTTTATTATTGTGGGCCCAGGAAACTAACTGTAGTGGCCATTCATGGTTAGGATTATGGGAAAGAAAGTAGGTTGGTGGAAGGAGTATTTAAATAGTTTGATAGGTAGCATACTGACTTACATCCAGATACAGACACTTGCGATGTTCAAATGGCTTTGAAATTAAAAAACAGAACTGTGTTACAGGTACAAATTTGGATGGCATTGCTATATAAGAAATCTATCAGCCCCAGGACTTGATGAGGTCATTTAAGCAGTTTATGTAAAGTGAGAAAAAAATCATGAAGCAATATAATGAACACCAGCATTGAGGGACCGCCTAAAGAAGACAAACAAAATCATAGAGATGGGATGAAGAGAGAAAGCTCACAATTGCTCCTCATCATATCCTGGTTTTAATTATAATTAGTTAAATACATGTTGATCTTGGCAAAAAGAGTGCTTTTACCTAGTGAGGCACACTATCTTATTTACTTCTGACTCTCCAGCACCCAAGAAAGTACCTGATACTTAATATCCCTGCAATAAATATTTGCTTAATTGAATGGAATTAAAATTAGAACTTCATTCCCTTTTTTGCTCTGTTTGCTTATTTCTGGAGTATGCAGCATGTATTGCCACTGGTATTTTAAGTTCATAGTGAAAAATCATTTCAACGTGTCCTAGGCTTGATCCCCTTCCAACCCAACCCCCAGGACAATAGTTTTCATTATAACCTGTCTTTGCCATTCTGGATGGAATTCTGTGCACAGAAGTTATATACATATATGGGTATATCTATGTAACAAATCGCAGCACAGGAGCCCCCTGGGCTCCCTCCGGCTCTGGTATGACATATTTGAGCCATATAAATTCAGCTTCTCCTCTGGCATCTGGTCGCCGACTCACTTGCAACTCCACCTCGGCAGTGGTCTCTCAGTCTTCTCAAAGCAGGCAAAGAGCACTGTGTGCTGGGAGACTATGGCAAAGAATCCTCCAGAGAACTGTGAGGACTGTCACATTCTAAATGTAAGTTGATTCATATATTTTCCCTTTTGAGCAGAAGCATGCTTTCACAGATTTATCGTATTGCAGTGTGAACATTAGAAAGTGAAATCGACGGAGACTTTGAATTATGGCTTGCTATTTTGAGGGTTATTGTGTATTGTTTCATTCTTTCTGTTCTTTGCTTAGGCAGAAGCTTTGAAATCCAAGAAGATATGTAAATCACTGAAGATTTGTGGACTGGTGTTTGGTGTTCTGGCCTTAACTCTAATTGTCCTGTTTTGGGGGAGCAAACACTTCTGGCCGGAGGTATCCAAGAAAGTAAGTAACACTTACCCAGTGTTTTTTTTTTCCTGAGTTTGGTTGAATTTAACTAGTGATTAACATGTGAATTAATATGAAAATGAAAACTTTCATCCTTTTTGTATTCAGTTGGGGCACAGAAAATGAAATCAAGGTTTTTCTTTCGTTTACTTATGTAGGTGTGGGGAAATTATCTTCTGCATTTTGTTTGGTTAGTAGTGACAGGAAGTAAATTTACTTTTATGGTTGACTTTAAGGAGTTAAATCTGAAAGCTTTTTTAATGTACAAAAGAAAAATTACTTTCCATCTTTCTTTCCATTATCTGGGAAGAAACTGATGGCAGAGTAACCAGACAGTCACATAAGGAGAAGGCACCCGAAATGGCAGCAAATTGTTTTCAGGGTTCATGTTCTGATTTAATGCATCTGCTATGAGGACAGGCAGCAAGGAACACTCCTTTTTCAAAGGAGCAATTCTCATATCTGAGTTCATAATTATTTGTAACTTAACCAGAGCTAGAGCCTTTCAGCTCCTCCGCAGTCACAGCCATTGTCCCAGTGAGATAGTTATGCCACGGGTAGATACAAGCAGCAGTAAGTCATTAATCACAGATATGTCAGAAAGCTTCTAATATTGAGGACATTTGACGAGGCGTGGTTGCCATTGTGGTTTGTATTCCCATGCTTCCATGTTACTGTTATTCCTAGGCTCACGTGCAATAGACAAGTTTAGATGTGACCCAAATAAAATCGTAGTCTTTTCTTGCTAACAGTTTCCACTTGGATGAGAATTAGATGAGCTAAAACCCATTAAGATGGGCTTTTGGCTTTGCCATATTCTTTATTTCTGAGCCTTTCTTGTTGCTGCTGCTACTGCTGCTGTTGTTTTTGTCATGAGATGCTCATTTCTACTTGGTAGCTGATGTAGGGAAGAAAAGGCACAGATCCAGGAAGGAAAATGAGACAAGAAGAAAATGGGTTGGCATGGACCATTAGGAGCCAAAGGAGCAATAGGAGCAAAGAGTTCATGGGGAAAGGGAGACAAAGGAGGAGAAAAAGAAAATAAACTGGCTAACTGTCCAAATAAAAACAGAAAAGTAAAGCATAACTACATGGGATTCTCCACCTCTGCTGCAATACCTGCTTACATTTAGTCTCAAGGGATACCTTGTAAAGTTTAAGTAGGATGGAGAGCAAACAAGCCTACTTATCTGTTTGCCTTTTTATTTACATCATGTTCCAGAAAGGTTTTCAGGCATCACCCACTCCTATTAGCCCACCCACTGCCCTACTGCTTTTGAACTACTTACTATTCAGATGACTTTCTAGAGAAGCCAACTATGCTAAGGCTAGCAAGGTGTGCAAAGCAACCAACATCAGAAAAGAAACAGAAGTTGAATTGAGAGCCAGCACTCATTCCAGTACAATTACTTACTTACTTATGGCATCACTTAGCTAATTTCTAAAGTAATATGCTGCCCCAAAAGTTGAATCACTAATTCTCTTGGAAATTATATGAATATAGGGCCATAAATCATTTTAGTTGTTGTGAATATAATACCTTCACTCTATGTTTCAACCATTCATAGATATGTATCTGAACAAACACAAGATAGACTTTCTTGTTTCCTTATATCCACCGGCACAATAAATGTCATTCTAACCACATTTATGTGTTTTTCTAATCTTACAGTGGTATTTGCTTCAGTGCAGTAATAAATGACCATGGGGGTGACTTGGGGAGATCTTGCCTTTATCTTGTAAGAATCCACACTACCTAGCTGAGTTCATGATCTCCCCTACCTTCCAATTATACTATCGTCATTTCCCATTCCAGTTCTTATAAATATGATTACCAAAGAGCAACTCTGTAATTCCTGAAACCAAACAAGAAACGCAGCCAGTGCATACATGGAAAGGGTACGAGTATGCTACTGATTAAAGTGTACTTAAAAAGAAAAGATATCAAAGCAAAATGAAGTAATTCATCTTAGGATATAAATTTCACGAAAAGGAATGTAAAGGAGGGGCCGAAGTCATTATGAAGATATACAGATAAAAGACACTATGTACCTCCTATGGTAAGTTTTTCTATTGTGAACAAATACTATTTACTTGCTATTCCATGGGGAATTACAATATACTGTCTTTCATATATATGTCCTGGCCTTCACCACAAAGTCATGTTGAGGTCACTGAAAATCAGGAGACCAGGTAGTAGTACAGATTCTTTATTCAATCAACTACTACATTCTATGTCCCAGACAAAGAGCTTGGGATGCTATCCATGTTCCTAGTGACCAAGACCCTGACTAGGCCTGCATCTGAGCAGTTAAGAATCCAGGGAAAATAAAAGTAGTCTATTAGTCTGGGAAGAATATTTCCAGAGGAAAATGATCCAAGCATCTTGTATAAATTTAAGACTCTCTCTTTAATAGTATGGGCTGGAATGAAATGCTGATTGACAAAGTAAAACCCATGGTCTTCTGGACTTTGCTTTGGTTGCCTTTGGGATTCGTGAGGCCTGTGGGGCCTTTGGTAGAGAGAATGACTGATACATTTGTACTTTTGTAGTGATACCTTTGTTGTCTCTGGGCTGTCTCTGAGCTCTCAGTGTTTGCTTTTCCAGCCCCCACAATACTCCTTCTTGTTTTCTTTTTCAACATCTGTTTATAATAAACAGTGTTTATTTAACATCCTACATCTGGTGTTGACATTTCCAGGCTACTAAGTCTTTCCTTTCCCTCCCACCTTCGTATGCACAAAAGATGCAGATGATGGATTTCAAAACTGGAGTAAGCAATATTTGACTCCAAGTGTTCCTCAAACATGCATGTGAACACACACACACACACACACACACACACACACACACACACACACACACCCTCTTATCCAGGAGA